TACAAACGTGACACACAAGTTTGAAGTAGATCTGTAGATGGATTAATACAGCTAAAACACTGCAGGTTTGTTATACCTGGGGCGTTTCTTCTTCTCTGGAGTCGAGTGCACTTGAGTTTTCATCCCGTATGTCTTCATTTGAAAATTCTCAAAGGCCTCAGATATTGCTTCCACCTGTGTGAATATAACATAACAACAAAGCCGTATGAGACGAGCAAATCAACTTTAAAGAATTTATTAAACAGGACATATAGTTTTGGACAGACTAGGTCGGGCTTCTTGGAATAAACTCGAACTATCATATCTTGGCAACATGCAGGCAGCAAATGACTGATCTGATCCTCTGTAATGCTGAATTTTTCAGTGCTCTCGTAATCCTGATAAAGTCAAATAAACATTATGTGAAAAGATAAACTATCCTTGTGAATAAATTATTAATCATTGACATTCATATGGCTTTTTAGAAAGTTTTTAGGTATTATAATTTTAAGTGTTAATAATTTCGAAAGAAGATTTGAAAGGAACTTGAAAATTTTTAAGCTTGGAAAGGAAGATTTGTACCTGGAAAAAGTTGATGCTGGTGAAGAGAAAAGCACATGAACGCAGCAAAAGTTAAATCAAAATTTAGAGTGACTCTGTAGAAATGTCAGTCGTGAATCTACATTGAAAATCTTTAGCCAAGTATCACTGAAGTACCTTTCAAGTGGATTCTTCCTTCCACGAGTAAGATCAATTTTGACATTGCTCACCGCAATATCATCCTCCCGCAATGCAGGGCGACTAGAATTCTGCATTGAAGTCAATATGTCAGGTTTTATATCAATAGTCTAGACTGGACATAGTTGCATGTATCTGATCAGACCTGTGAACAAATTATATCTTGAGGAGTAACATTTTTGAAGTGCTCCAGCTTGTCCTTTGGAACAGCGAACTCGTTACAGAACTGTAAGAGCATTTTAAGGAACGGGAAAGGGAGCTATTGCTGTCAGTAAATTGCTCAGCAAAGTTGATGCATCCAAAACATACACTTAAAAGAGTTAAGTCACACCGAAGAGGATTACATCATATAAATTGTATTGCAAATACCTGGTAAAGATCCCTTCTCCGTATGCGAAGAATTAGGTCTCTAGATTCCTTCAGCTCTTGATGGGAAGAAGTTTCAATGGTTTTCATTATTGTGTCGTCTAACTGCAGATTGAAATAAAATGGACCACATAGGTTTTTGAGATATCCAACAAATTATACATTTTACGATAAATCATTGATAAACTCAACTAACCTTCCAGTATTGAGCTGGATCATCAATGTATGATGCAATTTGCAGATAATCATTTGCTTTTGTCATGGCATCAACGAACATGAGTTCTATAGCCTAAAAAACACTAAATGTTAGATTGTTTATTCCAAGTTTAGACATAGATCAAAGCGACATAGAAAATACAGTAGTAATTAGGCACCTTCACTTTTGCATGCGTATACACTGTCCGATGCAAATCTGCCCGAGCAGCAAATAATTTGTGGATTGTAAGATCTGAACATCCACCAACACATAAGTTGGAGATTCTTTTAAGCATGTGATGATCAGGTAGCCAAAAAAAAAATTAGATACTAACATTCCTTAGCACGGTAACATATCTCATCATCTATGACTCGCATAGTTTCTAAAACCCTGCAATTCATAGCACTGGAGTTAGGCTTAACCTTTTACTTAAACACAGTAAGACATCATCGTGGAATTTTTTGAAAAATTTAGAAGAGTTGGAAAACTATAAATTAATTAGCTATTAAGCAATCATACATACCTCTGAAACTGAAAATTGCAGCCAAGACCACAAGCCCTGGAGTCACGGACAATGTAGTCAAATCTGCAATCAAGCAAACCCGTAATTAATTGCTTGCTAATGATGGAATAACTTTCACTGGTACAATACGGTCTGCTGTAACATCCACAATAATGGAGAAGCTGATCTAAAGAGGAAGTGAAATAGGCTAGAAAAGATACTTGTCCACATCAATTCCATTACGCCCATTAGCAACAATGTCATACAAGAAATGTTTTTCGTTGGAGCTCTACACAATAAACATTCAGAAATTAGACTGTCACTTGATTTTCAGCTCCTTAGAAGACTTCTCACTGCATGACTTACTTTCGATGTAGAATTTTCAGAAGCAATTATCATTTCCTGAGGACAAAACAGACGTGTGTCAAACTATAGAAAGGAGAGACAAATCTCATACTTATGCTTCACGTTCTAATTCCAACAGCTTAATGTCCATCATGTTTAGAAGGCCATTATAAGTGATCCAGGTCAAGAAAAGATTAAATATCCATAGCATGGAAATGTGCGAGACAACAATGTTTGGGAGCATATACTAAGAGACTCTAGCATTGCTTCCCTAAGAAACAACTCAAGCCCGCACTAAAATAAGTGAAAAGAACATCTGAGAAGAAATTCGTTCTCCCATTGAAATCCCATCTTGAAAGAGAAAATGAATAAGCTCTGAACTTTATAAAAACATTTATAGGGTACTTATTTAATCATGGAAAGCACCTTCTTAAAAAAATTAGAATCTTGAGGAAATAAAATAGATCAGTTAATCAAACCTTGACTTTCTTAAGACTTTCAGAATCAATCTCTATATTGTGTTCATCAATAATGTAGTCTATCATCTTCAAAGACATTTCTTCATGAGACCTGAAAATTTTTGTTCATTATATTCGTTCATAAGTAATTTAGTAAATCGGTAGTATGTATTTAAGCATTTCAATGGCTAAATTTTTGTGGATATACTAGTAAAAACAGTTCAACAAACACATAAGTCAAAAAAAAGGTTGAGGATATAAAGGGAATTCGCATTTCAAAAATTTAGCGAGAAAAAATGGACACTTGACTGACAGATTTAAGATTCTATCCACTAGTAATAGATGACAACAAAAGATTAATCATGAAAGACAATTTCATGTAAATTGCTAGATTTTGTCAATAGTACCAAATCAATTTTACATCATATGAATCAAAGCTGAGGTAAGCACCATGCCCTCGAGAAAGTTGAATTTAGATATCAATTCTAAGTTGTATGAGATTGAGATTTGAGAATGTCCATCCCATGTGTAATTGGAAGCATTTTCTCCAATCGAACGAAAAAAAGGAATAATTAGTGTTTCAGGTCTACAGACAAAAATTAGGAAACATTGGGAAGACACAGTAACCCATGTAAGTAGTATGCGCATATGACATGTGCAGAATTAGCTTTCAAATGATACTGCTAAACAGTGAACTTTCACTCAATAATGATTACCAGAAATCTCTTTTAATTTGCTAAGACCGATTCTTGATACAGTTGGAGATAAATAAATGGACGTTGATAGTGTAGATGGAAATGTTGAATTAGAATAAGAAATCATGTAATTAAGTGCTGAAAGGGACAACAAAATATATATGATTTAAACATAGAAAATCTCCATTTCAGGCCATTGAAAACCTGGGGAAGAAACTTGTGCTCAAACATGTGGCTGAATGGCACGACTAAATGTTGATACAAACAGATAGGGGTTATTGGAGACAACTGAACGAATGCTGATAGTTTAGATCGAAATGTTAAATTAGAATAAGAAACCATGAAATTAGATGCTGATGGAAGGGACGAAAAGATCTATAATACTGAAACGTAGAAAATCACCATTTTAGGCCATTGAGAACCCGGGGTAGAAACTCGCGCTCAAACATGTGGCTGAATGGCCCATGACCCACATCGTGTAGTAGACCTATATGAAAAGAGAAAGAGTTATGTTTTGAGTGTAAACATGGTGATTGCCTATTAATTAGTATATTGATTAGCAAACAAGTTTACCAAAGAAACGCGTAAAGAAAGAAAGATATACCAGCAAGTTTTACTGTTTGTATGTCACAGCGTTCAATACCAAGTTCTAATCCCTGCAAAGACGGTATGAATTAAAACTCTTACAATTTTCTGATAAAGAGAGCAACCAGACCATGCATACATACTTGATAGGTCTTCAATCTGTGTATAGCTTCACTAGCCAGCCAATAGACACCAACTGAATGCTCAAACCGAGAATGCACAGCCCCTGGATAAACCATGTATGTTAAACCTGAAAATACAAATAAAAGTAATCAGCATCTCAAGGCTGGTCTTGCAAGTAGCAAACAAGCATTAGGAAAGACGTGAGTTTAACACGAGAAAAAAATAAAAATAAAAATAAGCGTACATAAATCCTTTTTCGCCACTTCTTTGTTCCAATTTCTCTACCACATCAAGCAATATTATTTTTGGTAAGCCTATACAAGATATGCCCCAACTACCAAGGTCATTCACCTAAATTATTATCAACTAGTGCCACTTCTATATGTAGGTGTATTCTCATTTCCGATCTTATTTACTCTTGTATGGCTTCACATCCATCTTACTATCTCATTTTTCAGCCCAAGTTCTATCCGGCCATACAAACAACTTTGGTCATTTATTTACTTCATTGAATGCTATCAATTCAGAACAGTTACAAAATTCCACCACTCACCGAGCTGCTTCAAATCACGAAGTCTGCATACATAAAGGAACATATTAGAATATTACTTCACCTAAAAATATGCAAGGAAATACAATAATGAAAGTGTAACATGCACTTCACTTCTGGACAGGAAAAAAAAAAAAAA